GAAATTTCAGTTTAACTGGAAGTGTCCTTCAAAGCCCAAGAAACAAATTATTCTTAATTTGCACAAACTGTTCTAGCGCATTTTAAAAACAAAACAAAACAGAAGGGTTGCCAATTCATTGAGCAAAATTAGAAGAGTAGCTTTCAAGAACATATTTCTTAAAATAAAAATGTGTTACAAGAATAGCTATCTTGTATTGGGCACTCACTGTGTGCCAGGCACTGGGCTAAAGTGCTTTAAAAAAGATCTAGGTGCCACTTGGGAAGAGGTCTGGCAGTTCTTCATGAGGTTAAACATAGTTACCACATGATCCAGCAATTCTACTCCTAGGTGAAATGAAAACACATGTCCAAACAAAAACTTGTACACAAATGTTCACAGCAGCATTACTTATAATAAGCAAAAAGTGGAAACCCAAATTCCCATCAGCTGATAAATTGATAAACCTGATGTACTGATACAACAGAATATTATTTGACAATATAAAAGAACGAAATACTGATATATGCATGGATGAACTTCGAAAACATTATACTAAGTGAAACAAGGCAATCACAAAAACCCACATATTGTGTGATTCTATTTATATGAAATGTCTAGAATAGGCAAATCTATAGACAGGAAGTAGATTAATGGTTGTCTCAGATGGCAGTGGAAGGGCATGGGGAGTGAGGATTTTTTAGGGTAATGAAAATATTCTTAAATTGATTACAGGCCGGGCGCGGTGGCTCACGCCTGTAATCCTAGCTCTCTGGGAGGCCGAGGCGGGCGGATTGCTCAAGGTCAGGAGTTCGAAACCAGCCTGAGCAAGAGCGAGACCCCGTCTCTACTATAAATAGAAAGAAATTAATTGGCCTATATATATATATAAAATTAGCCGGGCATGGTGGTGCATGCCTGTAGTCCCAGCTACTTGGGAGGCTGAGGCAGAAGGATTGCTTGAGCCCAGGAGATTGAGGTTGCTGTGAGCTAGGCTGACGTCACGGCACTCACTCTAGCCTGGGCAACAAGTGAGACTCTGTCTCAAAAAAAAAAAAAAAATTGATTACAGTGATGGTTGTACAAGTCTGTTGTACTAAACACAATTGTACATTTTTAAATGGGTGAATTGTACAGTATCTGAATATCTTGATAAAGCTGATATTAAATATATATATATTTATCTCAACCTTAATGAGACTTAAACTAATGTACTTGTTTTATACATGAGAAACCTGCTGCTCAAAGAGGATGTTATCTGCTCATGGTCATAATCAAATTAGTTGAGAAAACGAGGATTCAAATTTAGGTCTTTCTGCTTATTACCTCCCAACACAATCCCATGCAATTACACTGAAAAGCTTCAAGAAATGCCCTCCTCCCTTTTTTGAGAAAACATAAACTGAGGACTAAAAGATGCATGAGGGCAGCCGCCTGAAAACAAATAATTCCTAAACTGGTTGAGAATCACAAATCCGAAAAAAATCCAAAATCAAAACACTTCTGATGCCAAACATTTCGGATACTCAATCTGTAATGCTATTAAGCATTTCAAACCTAGAATAAGAAGGAAGGCTGCCCATTTTAGAAGATAGCAAATGGCTTTCAATCTCAAATGGGCCTTACTTGAAGAGTTCCCTGGAGAATAAAAATAATAGCTATCATTTATTAAATTTGTACACTGAATGAGGCCCGCCACCAAGCACTTTATGTGAATTATTATGTTTAATTATCATAACAACTCTATGAGAGATGTGATTATTATCCAGGTTTTATAGATGAGAGGTGAGCCTTGAGAGGCTAGCATCTTTTCCCAGGTATAAGCTAATGGCGGCAGAGCTAGGAATCAAACCCAATCTGTCAACTCCTGAGCCTGGACTCTCAACTACTACTGGATACATTTCTAGGCCATTAAATTTGAAAGTCATAATGAAATAGATCATTCTTGAAAGGAAGGCAGATAATAAAAACTTGGCAAATGTCAAGGGAGTGCTTTCCTCAAAAAGCGCTCTAAGCCCTTGCCATTTATAGGCAACTCTCTTCACACTTCCAAGAAACAAATAATCCCTAAGCTTTATAAATTGTACCAATTCAGTGAAGAGAGGCAAAAGTCTTTCATTTGAACAACGCAGCACAGGGATTTTCAACCCCAAATATTTTGAAATAATAACAGCTAATATTAATAGAGAATTTATAAGTGCCAGGAATGTTTCTAAGCACTTTATAAATGTTATGACAACTGTCTAAGGTAGGTACTATTAATAATCCTAATTTTACGGATGAGGAAAGGGAGGCACAGAGAGGGTGGATGATGGACAACAAATTATTGATAGTAAGTAGCCAAGATTAAAACCCAAGTCATTTAGCTCTACCTTCCAGCACTTATTATATTTGACTGCCTCTTAAATAATGTGATATAGCTAATATGTGATTCACTGCCTCCCAGCACTGTGCCAGACCCTTCACATGTACTGTCACAACCTAACAACTAAAGAGTAGATATGTTTACTGCCTGTTTGCAAGAACATAAGGCTCAGAAAGGTGTGGTAATTTGCCCAAATATGCCCAATTAATACATATCAGCATCAAGACTTAAACCCATGTCTTTCCAACTACAGATCACACTAATAGTCACTATATCATGAACTTCAAAGGTTGGAGTCAGCAAACTGTAGCCTGTGAGCCAAATCCAGTCTGCTGTGTTTTTATACAGTCCACACAGACCACATATAAATGGTTGATTCAAAAATGGTTAAATGGTTGAAAAAAATCAAAAGAACATTTTGTAACATGAGAAAATCAAATGAAATGCAAATTTCAATGTTCACAAATAAAGTTTTATTGGACACAGCCACACCCATTTGTGTACATATTGTCTATGGCTGCTTTGACACTACAAGGGCAAGTCAAGTAATTTCAACAGACACCATGTATCTCACAAAGCCTGAAATATTTGCTCTTTGGCCCTTTGCAGAAAAAGTTTTGCTGATCCCTATTATTATTAAATTTAAAACTCTTAGTGAAATGGAGGAGGAATGTACAAAAAGTACCCCCCAAAAAGGAAGAAAAAGCATGACTTTAAAGGCTGACTGGCACAGAAATGGAAACTTCCTTCTAACTTTCAAGGAACAAATAATTTTTCTGTTCCATAAGGTGTTCCAAGGCCTAGAAAACAGTGGAGGGCTTCCTAGTTCATTTTAATTAACTGGTTCACAAAGGTTTACAATCTCTAAGCTGTTTTAATTGGAAAGAACTCTGCATAATGAAAATAACAACAGCTGACAGTTATGGAACTTTCTCTGTGCTGCCAGGTGTTGTGGTAAGTAAAAGATTTCTATTTAATCCTCCCGACAACCAGGAAAGGTAAGATGCCACTGTTATTCAATTCTGTGAATGAAACTGAGGCCTCAGGATATTAAGCAAATTACCCAATGCCCCACATCTAGTAGGCGCTCAGGACTCTAGCCCTTATTTTCTGCCCCCAGAGACCACACTCTTTACCACACCACTTAATTTTAATGTAATAAATCTGCAAATACTAAAGAAATGCATAATTTCCCCCCAAAATACAAAGTACCGAAAGTATCAAAATAATCTTGGTGAAGTACATAAATTCCCTACTAACTCTCAAGGAACAAATAAATAAGTGCCACAAATTGACCCGGGTCATAAAAAGGGGCTTCTCAACAAATTTTAATTCCCTAGCCCAGTGGGTTGCCATAGCAGTCATCTCTCTCTTTTTTTTTTTAAACCCATCACCTCCCTTCCCCAATAAAGAATCCGTGCAAGATAATGATAGCTAACATGTTTAGCTAGCCTATGTGCCAGGCACTATTCCGAACACTTCCTATGCAATAATACTTCCTATGCAATACTTCAACTACGAGCAAGTATCCCCTGCAGACTGAGACATAGGGAAGTTTAATGGTTGTTTAAAGACACAACGAGCAAGAAGGCTGGATCCAAAGCCAAGCCAGGCAGTCAACAAAGTCAGCATCCTTAACAGACTTGCAGCTAATAAATTTGAAAACCCTAATTAAACATGCTCAATCAAGGGAAAACAGAAATTGGCAAAACTGAGCCAAACTTAAGGGGAGAGAAGGGTGCGTGGTATACCTACAGTTTTTAAACAAAGTCAAGTCTTCACAATTCATCCAGCCAAAAAGCAGTTCTGAATCATAACTATCTTCTAAACAAGACAGGTCCAAACTCCAAAGAAATGCGACAACACAGATGAATCTCAAATGCTAAGTATAAGAAGCCAGCCGCAGAAGAACACAATTTGTACGATTCCATTTTCATGTACCATTCAGAAAAGGGAAATCCAAAGCGGCATAAAGTAGGTTAGTGGTTGCCTGGGGCTAGGAGCCACAAACTAGTGCAAATGGACTCAAGGGTACTTGGGGGAGAGGGGTGGTGTTTGATGGAAACCTACAAATAGAGTGCGGTGATGGTTGCACAACTCCATAAATTCACTAAGAAACGTTTGAGTTGTACTCTGGGTACATTTTGACGTATGAAACTACATCTCAATAAAGCTGTGTTACAAGCCGCTAGATATACCAGCAACTGCTTCTCATCGAAGTCTATTTCCTAGACTCTGTGCTAAGTAAGTATCTCATGGGACTTCTCTTAGTCAAATCAATGCTAATGATCGGATACCACATACTGAGAAAACACTAATGGTAGAGTGGGCGCGCTGTGGGGAGGAGACTGCAGGGGCCATTCCTGGAAGGCGACCGCTGTTTTAAAGTCCCTGGCAGCGAGGGTGGAAGCCTTTGGCAGGGCTCCTGCAGAAAAGAGACCGAGTCCGGCGACCCGAGGTAGTGCGATCCCTGAGCAACGCCTGCCCCGCGGTGCGCTGGGCCTGGGCGCGAGGCCTGCAGCCTGGGGCGGCCGGGACCCGGGACTGCCTTCCAGGGCGTCTGAGATGTCCCCGCAGGGGGTAACGCCCACGTGCCGCAGTTATTTAAAAAAACAAACAAACAATAAACCGCGCGAGCCCGCCTACCCCGCGGACCCCAAGGCCACGCCGAGGGCCCTACCCGCGACCGGCCACGACGGCGCCCAGCCCCGCTTTCCTTCCGAGCTAGGCCCAAGCCACGGCATCAAGTTCCCATATCCGCCCCCCCTCGTGGACTAGTCGCCTGGCTCCCCTGCAGAGGGCGGTCAGTGGAGGCATGGCCCTCATCTACCCCGTTCTGAGAGGCTCAGGTCTCTCACGTCGTGCAGGACTCACAAAGGAAGACTCGGGTGAGACGCGGGAACAAGCACTTCCTGGTCAGCGAGGACTTAGGTACTGCGCATGCGCCCCGGAGCCTGCCGGGGGGCCGCACAGAGCCCTGCCCTCAGAGAGCGCATCGCTGACCCGGAAGCAGTTGGAGAGCCACGGACGGAACCTGAGCATCCATCCGCTGTGCGGGCAGCCTGTGACAGCCTAGGGCGAGGCACGCGTTTGGATAGGTTACTTCTACATTAGGCAATGAGGTAAGCTGTTGAGAATAAGTTTCAGCTTTAGAAGTATAGTAAATTTCAGTTTTTATAATTATATTTAATCATATTTTGAATAGATTTCGTCATGGGATGGGAAAAAGATATGTGATGACATGACCGGAATGAAAGCTGTGAGAGGCTGGGCTCTGTCCGGTGCCCCTGCGGTGTCCACTGTACCTGGAACGGTATTAATAATTGCCGTGGAGTGGGTGCTTGGTGATTTCTCAAATGACTGACTCAATGAATTCTTTGAAAACATGGGTCTGGAGTTATTGTTAAGTGAATCATCTGTTAGATTAGCTGATAAAACCAGTTTTTCATTTGTCACAAAATAGCCTACTGTGGGAAGTAGAGTTGCCAGATTTGGCAAATAAAAAATACAGGATAACTCTTTCAAATTTGAATTTCATATAAACAACAAATAATTTTTTAGCATAAATAGGTCCCATTTGGAGATACTGGGCGCCTTATATATTATTTGGCATCATAGTGAGAAGACAACATGTTATGGTGAAGAGGGAAGATGATTTTGTTCCTCTTAGAAGAAGAACTTGAGTAGGAAAGAAAATGGTACCTAGAATTTATAAATAAGTACCTGCAAACAATTATGTAGCAGATCAGAAGACCATGCTTGAGAAACTGGGATATATAAAGTTTGTGCTAAGTGTTCTATTTACATCAGTCTTCATTGAAACCTCCTACACAGTAGAATGATTATTATTCTTATTTTCCAAGTGCACAAAGAGGCTCAGAGACAGGGGGTCACTTGTTCGAGTTCTCACATTTTCATTGTCACCCCAGAAATGTTTATTGAGAACTGACTGTGTGCTGGTCTGGGATTTTGATTCCACACAATCTGCCTCCAGAACTGGAAAATTCCAGTCTCTATCCATTGCTCAGCCTCCCTCCCCTTTGTCACTTCACCTGCAGTTTCTATAGTAACAGACTGAACCTGTGTCTCTAGCTAACAAGAGCTAAGAGCTTTTGGAGGGGAATAAGCCAGAACAGTTGACAACAACCTAGCCTGGCTGGAGGATGGGAAGGACTGCCTGAAGCCCTAAAGTCTTCCATCTATGCTTTTTGCAAGAATTTTGGATGTGTGAAAATCTTTTCTTGGGTGGGGTCTCTGCAGAAGAACAAAAAGTTGGCTATGTAAACTTCTGCAGACCCTGTGAAACCATAGGTTTTCAGTTCAGAAGCTGCTGCAAACACTAGTGATATTAAGTTTATGCATCCTTATCATTTGTTACTTTGTTTAGTCTATTATTCTACCAATAATGATTGGGAGGGGGGTACTATGTGTCAGGCAGTGCTAGATCCTGAGGATATGATTACTATTGAGACAGACACGGTCTCTATCCTCCTGTTTCTTAGAGTCCAGCAAGAGAGACATTTATTTATCTGCTTATTCTTCAGTATATTCTGATCCATTATATGTGAGACATATATTCAGGTCTGAGAGATACAGAGATGAGTTATTTAAAAAAACAAACAAACAATAAAACACTGTGCTGCATAGAAATGGCTCCAGTGGAATTGAGGTCAGACATTAAGTAGATAATCACAAAAACAACAAGTATTTACTGAGCAGCCACTGTGGTACCTGGCACTGTTTTAAGCAAGGGGACATAGCAGGGAACAAAATAGACTTGGTATCTGTTCTCATAGAACTTTCATTCTGTTGGAAAAAGAGAAAATATATATAATGAATTAGTGTGTTTTTGGTTACAAGAAATGGGATATTAAACTCAAAATGACTTAAAAGGAGAATATATTGGTCTAAGCAACGAAAAATGCCAGAGATACGGTTTGTCTTATCAGTATTCTTAATCATAATTTATATTGTTTGCAAACCTCTGTTGTTTTTCTGCCCAACACTCCTTCCTATGCTTCTTGCCACAGGCACCTTCTTTTCTATGGGGAACTAGTTAGCACCTGACCCAGGTCTGCTCACTCCATTCTTTTGCCTCACAGTGATTGGTGCAGGGATGGAACCATGACTCCAGAAGGGCCAGAGACTTACTTACCTGGGAATTGTCTTTGGGAGTTATGAAGAATGGCATTCTCTTTGCTAGGATGCTAAACTGATCTGAAGTGTGCCTGGCCATAAGCCAGTTTTTTCTGCCTATCAGGGAATAAAGCAAGAGACTTACAGCATCCACTGTCTTTTTTTTTTTTTTTTTTTTTTTGAGTTTATATTAAATAGTGTGCTTAGCACATAGTAGCTCTCAATAAATGTTAGTCAGTTTTGTTAGTGATTTACAAAGGGTTGAGTGAGAATTCTCTGTAGGGACGGACTGGAAGACTGTGGGCCCTAATTCATGCTAATGATTAGCTGTCCCTACAAGAAGAGGAGATGAGGGAGTGAAAACACCATGTGAACATGAATATGGCCATCTACAAGCCAAAGAGAGAGGCCTTGGAAGAAACTAGCCCTGCTCACATGTTGATCTTGGTCTTACAGCCTCCAGAACTATGAAAACCATCATTTCTGTTGGTTAAGCCACCCAGTCTGTGATGTTTTGCTGTGGCAGCCGGAGCAGACTACTGCACTGCTACATGGCTTCCCACTGCCCTTAGATCAATGCCAGGTCCCCAACCTGAGCCACATGCTTCTTTGTGATCCACAGTTCTTATCTCAGGCTTCATCTCATACTCACCTCTTGGCTCTCCACACTCCAACTTTCAGTTCTTTGTGGAGGCCTCATTGTCGCTAGACTTGTCTACATCCATTGCTCCCATGTCCTCACCTTCCATTTGGCATTGACTGTGTTTCCAGCTTCTGTGAATTTGATGCTATAACATCTGCCCTAGATGTATATGCTGGACCTTGTTCTGGACAACCTGATAGTATGTCTAGGTCACCTTGCCTTGGTGTCCTCCCTCCCTCATGACCTCTCCTCTCCCCAACAGGAGTCCCCTTCCTGGGGCCATGCTTTGCAAATGCAAACCCACCAATCCAGAACCCACACCCAACCACCTCCTTTATGGAGTCTTCATACTCAGGGCCACTGTGCACCTGCAGTAATCACGCTACAGCCAGTACCAGACAATTAGGGATCTGTTGGCTTTGCTGTTCTCTCACCAGTTTCTTCTCAACAAAGAACCTGCTTCTGCTCCCCTCCCACTCCTAAAATAGCTCTGCTCAAAACCCACTATGTTGTTAGATGCAACGATCACTTCTTCGTCCTCGGGTTATGTGGCTTCTTGTGGCAATCAACGCATTGACTTATTCCTCCTTGAAAATATTTCCTTCTTGTACTTACTTTCTTAGATATTCTACTCTCCTGATTATCCTGGCCCCACTCTCATTCCAGCTCTCCTTCCTGAGCTGAACGTGTACACACACTTTGACCCAACCATTCTTATTCAAAGAGCCTAAATGACTGTATCCAAGAATGCACACTGAGCAAGGAGTGGTAACAGCTTCCAACATTGACTGAGTGCCTAAATAGGCCAGTCATGTTCCATGCACGGGAATGCATAGAGATGAGCAATGTAGATCTCATTCACATTTCACAGAGCTGACAGTCTAATGGGGCCACAGTGGCCACAAAAATGGAGAATAAAAAATTTCCCACAAGCTTCAGAAAAGATGGATTGGTCCACAACCAGGGAAACAAGCAGCTATCAAAATTGGTTTTAAACGCTTTCAACCAATTGATGATACCCTGCCTCAGTAAATGCACTTTTGGAAGCCAAACAATCACTTTGCTTTGGAGAGTTGAGCTCATCAAGGACGGACTCTGATAAACACGGCTCTGAGCGCCAACCAGTCAACAGGGGTCTCACTTGAGAGACCACAGCTCTACTATGGATGATGTCAGCCCCTTTGTGTCTCTGAAAGCCTGACAACCCCTGAACTCCATGTTGCCCCAAACTCTCTATAACATCAGACCACTCTGTACAGAGAGGTGGACTCATTGGCCTTATTATGGTGAGAAATAAATTCAGCATTGTTCTTTTATCTCAGATGTTGAGTTATATTAGTTTGCTGGGGCTGCCATAACAAAGTGCCATGGAGTGAGTAGCTTAGAGAACCGAATTTCATTTTCTAACAGTTCTGGAGGGTAAAAGTCCAAGATTAAAGTGTCAGTGGGGCTGGTTCCCCTGAGGCCTGTCCCTGTGGCTTGCAGATGGCCGTTATCTCCGTGTCGTCACAGGGTCTTTCCTCTGTGCATGTGTGTGTCCCAATTGCCTCTTCTTATAAGGACCCAGTCAGATTGGATGAGAGCCTGCCTTTATGGCCTCATTTTAACTTAATTATCTCTTTAAAGACCCCAAATTAAAATAGTCACATTCTGAAGTATTGGGGGTTAGGGCTTCAACACATGAATTGTTAGGAGGGGCACAGTTCAGCCCATAACGGAGTAATCTTGTTGTGCTTCGACAGAGTAAATGTCCTTCATATATATATGGTTACAGATTGTTCCTGCATTTCTCAGCTCTCCCTGCTTTCCTGGGACTGTGTTTCCATATGAACCAAATCTGTGCCACCTAAGTTCTCCATGTTCTGGGTTGCCCACTCCTGCCTGGGATATCAGCAACCTGGAAAGCTTCATGTTCTTTGAGCAGCGGTGGAATGGAGAGTAGTGAGCCTGTGATAAGAGGCTCAGAGCCTTTGCCCAGAGACTGGGGGTCATTTCTCTCACATGTGGTCCTGGTTAGAAAGTGAAGAAGTACAGAGTGGATTCCACAAGGTCCCAGGTGGTTCAAGCCCAGATGGGCAGGCAGCAGGTGCCCCTGCCCCTCTGTGAGCCTGGGAGGGAGGGCACCCCAGCTCATACTTCTGGAAGCCATTTGTTCTAGCTATTTCCAATGTCCTCCCTCCTGGCCCAGCTTTTCCACAGGACAGTGGAGATGGTCCCATGCTGCTCCCAGACCATCCTGGCTGGGCTGGTCTTTCTCCTTTGTAAGGAATTGATTTCTTGTTCTCAGATTATGAAACCTTGGCTGGTCATTAACCTCAAAAGTCTCTGGAAATCAAAGTCACACCTACACATCTCTAGGGGGAGGGAAGTGCCCGTTACAGGGCTGTGAGGCAGAAGTTGGGTAGCAAACCTCAAAGTCCTGCCAAGATGCCTCAAAAGTCCCTCCCCCTCCAGACCAGGTCCCCCCTCCCCTGCATCCCAAGGCCCATCCTGCCCACATCTTTCTCCTGGACCACTCCGCTGGTCCCCCATTTCTGCCCACCCTCTTGTCGGTCCCCTACACAGGCAAGATTCTGCCATTCCCTTACGTCAGAGCAACTAGCACCTTCCTGTTGCTGTGGGAATGAAATCTAAGCTCCTGCTTGTAAGTAGTGGGAGCTCTAGAATCTCCATCATGGAGGGCTTATGGGCCATAATTTTGTTGTACAGTAAGGGTTGAGGAGAGGTTATTGAAGCTTTCTAAAGCTGTACTTGTACCGTTTTCCTAATTATTACACAGTATAAATCATTGCAAAAGCAGCTGATAGCTATGACTGTTGTGTAAGTGCATGCACATGTGTGTGCACATGAGTGTGTGTCTAGGTCAGGCATCCTCAAACTACGGCCCTTGGGCCACACACAGGTGTTTTTGACCATTGGTTTTTTTTTACTTCAAAATAAGATACGTGCAGTGTGCGTAGGAATTTGTTCATAGATTTTTTAAAACTATAGTCCGGCCCTCCAATGGTCTGAGGGACAGAGAACTGGCCCCCTGTTTAAAAAGTTTGAGGACCCCTGGTCTAGGTATCCACAGAGCTGGTGTCTCAGCCTCACCACTATTGACATGTGGGGTTGGACCATTCTTTGCTGTGTGTGGGGCCATCCTGTGCATTATAGGATATGAGCAGCATCCCTGGCTTCTACCCATAAAGTTGTGTGAATAAAACTGTCTCCAGACATTGCCAAATGTCCCCTGGGGGCCCAAATCACACCCCCTTTCCCTGAGTGCCACTACCATAGAGCAGGGCTCCTCAAACTTTTTAAATAGGGGGCCAGTTCACTCTCTCTCAGACCATTGAAGAATGCACACTGTGGGCCCAGGACGAGTCAGCTGCTAAGCAGGACTGGCAGTGGTGGCAAAAAACACCCAGAGGGCAGGATAAATGTGCTTGGTGGCCCATATGTGGCCCACAGGCCGTAGTTTGAGGATGCCTGCCATAAAGTGAGGTAAAAACAAAAAAACAATAAAAGTGAAATTCTTTTCATTGCTTTATAGTTAAACTTTGTTTTTATTCAGTTTGAGAAGCACCCGTGATAGATGTTGTGCTAGGCAGTATGAAATACACTCAACACATTAGAAAATACTGGTGTAAGATGATCAGTACCCTGGAAATTAGGGGAAACCTTATTAAAAATCAGAATCAGAGATATATTTGCAAAACAGATGGCTGGTCTTTACACTTTTTTACATTTTGGAAACAGGCTTTCTACAGAATACTGGGCACATTGTGCCCTTCCAAGAAAATTATCCCATCATTAATTATTAGACATTAATAACATACATAGCTTGGCCTCCAGCCCAGTGTTCAGCTCATGAATCAGGAAAAAGTTCCATGGAAGCTGTTGACCTGAAATTTTCATCTGGACACTGGGCCTTGTGTTAGTGCTCTAGTGAGGTTTCTAAACATAAACCTTCTCTCCTAACTGCCTTCTTTATTCTTTCCCTGCCACCAAAATCACTCTCAAATTGCCTTGCTTCTCTCCTTGCCCGATGTCTTGTGCTCGAGTCAGCTGGCCTGTTTCCCTCCATGGCTGCAGTAGCTTCCTATTCCTCTCGTGTCCCCTCACAGCCATTCTCAAAACAGCCATCAGACAAGTGTGAAACAGAAATGAAGTCTCTCCCAGCTTAAAACCCTTTGATGGCAAGCTACTGCCTTGACCACCTCACCCATTCGGATGGCTACTATTAAAAATAAAAAATTTAAAAATAAAAAAATGTAGACAAGGATGTGGAGAAATTGGAACACAAATGCACCGTTGGGAATGTAAAATGGTGCAGCTGCTGTGGAAAACCGTATGGAGGCTCCTCAAAAAATCTAAAATAGAACTACTATATATCCAGAAATCCCACTTCCAGGTATACACTCAAACGAATTGAAAGCCATGATTTGAAGCATGTGCACTCACGCTCATAGCAGCATTATTCAC